TGTATTTTGTTCTTTTTTCTTAATATTTGTATCTTAATCTTAACTTGTTTCTATTCTTCTTCTGTTAAATGTTAAATTCAAATTTATAATCAAAATTGTTAGTTATTAGTTTCTACCTGTAATTAATTTTGACTAGTTTCATTGTTACTGTACGATTAACTATTACCATCTTTGGGCGCTAGGCTCGAAAACCGTTTCGGTTCCTCCCAGCGTCCTAGGTAACTTATTTTGTTATTAGCTAAAATAAATGTCATTTATTCTGTATTAACTACTATAATAATTAATTTAAGTACCCTGTAATACCAATTAATTTGAATTCGTCTTTGCGGATTCAAAGTAACTCATCGACAACCAGGTCTGACGAGGCCAATTTTTCGCATCTGTACATAAGATAATGCTTTTGTCCACCGCTGGCCGCTCAATTGACTGTTGTTATAAGTGGTGATGCGGGCGCGTTTCAATTAATCATTGGGAACTGGTGTCTAATTACAATTCTCTGCTCAGCAGCTTCGCGATTGAAGAGTCCGCCAGTAATTGCCATTGGTTAATTAAAGCAATAGAGTCACAGGGTGCTAAGACAATTGAGTAGACACAGGAGTCTATCAGCAACCTTCAAGTTTTCTCTTTCAATACAGCTTTGATTAGGCGGAAAGCGTGACTATCACAGGCAAACACTTTTTGTTTAGTGGCTTAATCACTTGTGAGTATTTTGCAAATATCATATAGATTGAATGAGAAAATCGCTCCGGTTACACAATGTCATAACAAGGATTATCATGCTTATGGACGTATATATTGGGACAAATATTCGCTTCAACTTGTATATTAATTGGCTTGCGAAGTCTTTTCGTAAGATTGTTACAAACAGGACTTTGGACTGATTTAATGACTCACTTTGCAAATATTATGCAAATTTTGCATAAACCTGAGAATTCGTGAAATAGCCCTGTTGATGTCATCCTCTGCTCATATGTCAAGTCCATGAAAACTGATTAAATATAAAGTTCTTGTCTACTATAATACTTACTCTTACTTTCAATATCTTACTCATGCCGTTGTTTTGAAGGAATAAATCTCGACCATTTGCTATTAAATTACACTGCAAATGTCATCAGTGGTGACTACACGAAAGTAAAGCTACAAATTGTTTTGGTTACTTCTATGAATAATTTTCAACATTGCGTATACGTGCCTTTTTAATTCTTTATAATTTTTTTTTCAAAATTTAGAACAGAAACAGTGCGACAGTGACAGAAAATTTGGGGACTTGTGGAGGTTTTATGAAGCCTGAATTTGCGCTTTCAAGCCAAAACCATGGAATTTTTTCCTTTTCTGGCTAACAATACTTTGGTCGAGATTTTGACTGGAAAAATTGTCGCTTACGTTTACAATTTGAAGCTGTTAATAATGCATGTCGAAAAAATAAAAAAAATGCTTGAATATATTTCAAAATGAAAAAAAAAATTTGAAAAAAAAAGAATATCGTTTTCTTCTCAGTACCCGATTTTCAAACGATAGCAAGTAACGTGTAATTTTTAATAATTTCACGACTATCAGTCCAGGTTGATGTCTTCAATTAATTCGGTTTAGATCGTTATTTCGAAAACATTGATTTCATAAATAGGTAAAATGGAAGTGACTCATAAAATGGTCTTATATTTGTGAGCAATTTTTAGTTGCAGTGCATCATATGACTAATGACTCTTGCATTTTTAGGAACAAATGGCAGTAGAGAAAGTCTTTCTTTGCACTGTTGATAAAGTTAAGAAGTTTCCCACAGACCCAGCCCTGTCCAAGTTCTCTGACATCCAAAACAATGAACAATTGCGAAGAGATTTGTGTCTCCTAGGGCCCTGTCAACCACGCAGAGACGACCTGATGCCATGTAAAGGATCTGGTAGAACGTTTCAGGATGATTGATATCATAATGCAGGAATAAATGACTTCAAGACAGATCAAAACAAACGAGATTTGTTGGTCTACTCACCAAGGCGAAAGTGCATGTTTTGTTTTTGGCGACTTTTATTCATCCCAGAAACGATGCCATACTATGAAAAAAGCTGGACACAACTAGGCGTGACCAATTGGAAGAAAGCTCCAACAAAAATAAGGCAACACGAGAACCTTGACATTCACTTAACGGCAGCATTTAAGTATTCAACCTACATATCAGGGCAGAATATCAAGAATTGCCTCTCAACAAGTGCAAAAAATTGCAAGCATCCAAAACATTGCATTCAGAGGTCATTATGAAGGTCCATGTTCTAGTAACAGAGGAAACTTTAAGGAGCTTGCGGAACTTAGCAAAGTATGATGTGACTCTGGCAAAGCAGCTGGAAGCAAGCCCAAAATATGCCAACTACACAAGTTCAGCTGCTCAAAATGAAATCGTCCACTCAATTGCTGAGGTGCTGCGAAGGGAGATCATAGAAGAGATTAGATCTGCAGAAATATTTTCCATGCTGATAGACGAAACTGCGGATGCTTAGAAAAAAGAGCAAGTAAGCCTTATTTTTAGGTATGCTCTCGAAGGTGAAATTTATGAGACATTTCTCACGTTTAAAGATGTTGTTTCAACAACCGGCGAGTCGCTTTTTTGATGAAGTTAAAAGGCGGCTCGAATCATTTGGCTTATCTTTGAAAGATTTGAGAGGAGCTGGAACAGACGGAGCCGCTAACATGCAAGGATAGTATAAAGGGCTGAAAGCAAGGATTATCAGTGCCAACCCCCTTGTCAAAAGTGTACATTGTGCATGTCATGTCCTCAACCTCGTGCTTCTTCAGGCATTAAATGGAAATGTGAAGATCAAAGTCTTTTTTGCAAACCTGGAAGAGCTGTACAACTTAATCGAGGCTAGTCCTAAGCGCAACGAGCACTCTCAGCGGGTCCAAAAAGAGCTTGGTTTCGACACCATCAGGACATTAAAACGCCACGCACTCACGCGTTGGGAGTCTCATAGTCAAGTTGTTAAGGAGGTGATGGAGACCTACCCAGCAATAATTGCCATGCTAGAAGATGTAGTAGACGTGGAAACTGAAATTGTCAGTGGAGCAAGCGGACTTCTAAGCTTTTGTAAAAAATTTGAATTCACATTGATGACAATCATTTTCAAGGAAATTCTTCAAACAACAAACATCATAAATAAAGCTCTGCAGGCAAGTGACATTGATTTGGGTAAAGCCTTTGACCTTATAGATTCAAGTTTTGAAACCCTCAGTGAAATGAGAAATGAACAGAAATTGGAAGAATTTTTAGAACGTGCAAGAAAGGTCGCTGTCAATGCCAGGGGCAAGTCTGACTTTCAAGAGAAAAGGCCTCAAAAGAGAAAGCGACAATTTGATGCAGTTTCCTCTGAAGAAACAGCAAAAGACCCTAAGCAATCATTTAAGACCGATGTGTTCTACTACGCATTAGATATGATCAAGCAGCAAATGGTTGACAGACTCAGTAGCCACAGGGACATCCTTCGGTCTTTCCAATGTTTGATGCCAGAACGTCTACTGAATCAGTCCCCCGAGGAGAACAGACGTTGTTTGGAAGTCCTTTTCTAGGAATATGGTCCTGATAACGGCTCCGGAGACTTAAAGGAGGAAGTATTCCAGAAATATTCTTTGTTCCAAGCTATTTCGAAAAAAGGAGAGAAGTGTTGCAAGTTTTTGTACATTTCAAAACTGTACAAAAATTTTCCAAATTTGTACAAGCTCTACCAAGTTTTTTTGACGATACCGGTCACAAGTGCCGAAGCAGAAAGGTCTTTCTCGAAATTAAAGCTGATCAAATCTTACCAACGGATAACAATGAATCAACAAAGAACATCAAACTTAGCTGTCATCTCCATTGAGCGACAGCGATTGATGCTCTAGATATCTTCGCATCAATGAAGCACCGACGAAAAGAATTTTCTCTTTGATTGCTCCTCCAAATATAGTTTTATATTTTTGCCCTTGAAATTTATACATAAATCAGTCTTATGGTTAGCTTGAGTTCCCCACATTCTTTGATTAACTAATTTCTTGTGTTTCCAATGCAACCATGGGTTCAAATAATTTTGAATAACCTTTAATTTCAGCTGCATTTGTCAATAAAAGTTTGTTCTTCAAGTTTGGTAATTGTCTTATAACGCCAATGAAATTTTGTTGTGTTTGTCTACTTGTCGGAAAATCGTGCGCCTGAGCCCCCCCCCCAAATAAAAACCCGAATTTCCGCCACTGATGAAACTAATAAGTAAAGCACCCTTTTGCTTGGAACTCAGATATGCCAGGAATTTCTAAAGATAAGATTTTCTGTAAACTAAAGAAACTTGTTGTTTTTGCAAGAATGATTTTCAAATTCTATTTGATAAAGAGTCACCAGTTCTGCTGGCTGATGCAGGCATCCCATGCTAACCCCAAAGTCCTGCTCTTTACAAGGGCAATCCTGCTCTTAAATCGGACACTCTTTGTGTTGTCCTGCTTCCATTATGTGTTTGTAAATTTTTTCCTGCATCACTATGAACTAGAACAAAAAGCAGTCTTGCTTAATCTGCAGAGCAGGACCTGGTTGAAATTATCATCATAACTTGTCATGAGTAGTTAGTGGTTGATAAGTTGGGTTCACCTACTTAGGCCAAAAGCCATTGCTTTGAAAACATTTTGACCTGCTATTTCTGAAAGCAGGACTGCAAGGATTTCCCTGTACACTCTCTCTTTCTGGCTGAGGCAAGTCTACCAGCAAGAAAGCCAGTTGAAAAACTATCGGGAGGCACTGTGCTTGTGAAATTCCTGCTTTCTTTGGTGCATATAATGATGTATATAAAATTGGTGCATATAAAATTGTGTTCTTTACCTGAATTTTTTACTTGTCTCATGGTTTTGCTAATTAATTTATTTCAATAAGTAAAATGAAACATTGATAAACTGTGCCTCTTTTGCATATTAACTTTTATTATATTAATTCTCAAGTTTCTTCTTTTAAATTTAACTTTTTTGAAGGTTACTTTCACATTTATGTGTATTAACAGGATTTGATGTTGTTTGCTTTGAGCAAGAAGATGATTTTGGTGGTTTGTGGCGATTCACCACTGATGATTCCCACAGCTCTGTGTGCAAATCAACAGTCATCAACACAAGCAAGGAAATGATGAGTTACAGTGATTTTCCTGCACCGAAGGATTTCCCTGTTTATATGCCCAATGTAAAAGTGATGGAGTACTTACATCTTTATGTCAAACACTTCAATATTTCAAAATACATCAAGCTTGACACTGTGGTAAAATCAGTCAAAAAAAGTGATGATCATGATCTCACTGGAAAATGGGATATTACCTTTTTTCCACATGGGAAAGAAATAATTGGGCAAAAATGTGAGACGTTTGATTTTATCTTTGTGTGCACTGGCCATCACTGGATCAAAAACCTGCCACACTTTGATGGTATTGATGATTTTAAAGGCAAAAAGATTCACGCCAAACAATACAAAGATTTCAAAGGATATGAAGACAAAAGAGTGCTGGTAATAGGTGAAGAGGCTCATAGCTCCCACTTTGCTATTTTTTAGACTGTATGGATATTTTAAGATTTTTAAAAAAGTTTCTTACACCTTATAATGTAGCTGTAACATCAAGAAAAAATATACTGTCAATACATTGGAGTACAAAGAATTTCTTCCATATATGTTGCTTAGTTCGTCAAATTTTAACTCCCCCCCCCAGTTTCTCCCCCCCCCAGTTTTTTTGTTCAAATGAAATAAGAATAAAACCTTACAATAAACCTCGATATTTATCCTTAATAAAAATTGTGTATAACTTCAGTGGTTCCTTTGTTTCTTATTTTTAAGATAAGTACCCCTTTCATTGCTATCTGTGTCATTCCATAGGTATTGGTAACTCTGGTGGTGACATTTCAGTTGAGTTGAGTCGTCATGCAAAACAAGTCTTTCTAAGCACAAGAAGAGGAGCCTGGGTAATTCCTCGAATGGCCCATGGAGGATACCCTTTAGATCAGTTCAAAAATCGACGAATAATGTCACTTATACCAAAATCAGTTGTTGAGATCGTTGGTCAAAAGATAGCAAATGAAAGGTTCGATCATAAGAAGTTTGGGCTGAAGCCAGAACACGGGATAACACAACAACAACCAACGGTAAATGACGACCTTCCATCAAGGATTTCTACAGGGAAATTGAAAATCAAACCAAACGTGAAGCTGATAAAAGAGAGAAGTGAGTATTTGACAAAATGGTGCCGTCTGTGTAATTGAAAACATACTTTTTAAATCTTTCTCTGAAGTTCTTTAATCACTTTGAAAGATTAAGGGAAAGGTGCAGTCATCGTGTGGTAGTTTAATTCTTTTTTATTTTGCTTCGATATTTCACGATACTTTGGTCTGGAATGTTTGCCCTTCCTGCGCAAATGAAGGATAGAACGAATTGAAGCCGAAATAAAAAAGAGAAAGTTGGAAACTCTTCTCGCTCATAGTGAAAATATGGTCTTGTCAGTGACACAAACCACAGACCCTTGGCTGTGTACCAAATAACAATAACATTGAATCATCCTCACACCATTAAAGAGACCACTAAAAAGACGCTGAAAAGACATTGCATGCATAGTGAAATTGCAATTCCTTTCTTGGTTTTTTCATTTGTTTTCATAACCCAATTCAACAAACTTTGTTCCTCTTCTTTCAACTTTGACTTTGCATTTTTGTTGTGCAGTTCATGATAGACTTATTGTTTGCTTCCAGGTGTAGTGTTTGATGACAATACGGAAGCTGCTGATCTTGATGCAATAATATTTGCGACTGGATACAAAATTGGCTTTCTTTGTCTTGAAGAGGGGCTTGTACCAGTCGAAAGAAACCAGGTACCTCTGTACAAGTATGTTTTTCCAGACAGTCACGAACATCACACAATGGCCATATTGGGATGTTTACAACCCAGTGGAGCTATAATGCCGCTTTCAGAACTCCAAGCACGTTGGGCGTGTAAAGTGTTTAGTGGGACAAAATGTCTTCCTAGTTTGGATGAAATGAAAGCAGACACAGAGCGAAAAAGAAAGGCAATGTCGGAACAATACTATCAGGCCGACAGACATACCATTCAAGTACTTATTTGCCTGTATAGAAATGTTTCGCTTACTTTTAATTCCTGCCCCTGGGCGTAGGATCGATGATCACCCCTTTCAAGCCCGTATACAGTCTTGTTGTGCAGCTTCTGTCTACGTCGCGGGGAAGGGGGATGGGGGAACTAAGCCTAGTTTTGGACAGGGACGTGCCACTTTGGTTCAACATTTGTTCCCATTATTCCGCACATGTCTGAAAAAATGTGCCCCATGATTGCGCAAATATGATGAAAACTATATAGACAGGGAATTTCCTATAACAATCTAGCAAACTGGGTAACCGAAATTTTTGAAGTGGATATGACTTCTATGATGGTTGGTCGTCAATTTAAGCCTTGGGCACATTCTCGAAAATTTGTTGTTGTCACGTGATCGATGACGTAATTACTCCCTGGTCAGTAAAATATTAATGACAACTGTTTTCAAATCTGAGTATACCAATAGCAACTGCTTGCCTTTAAACCCTATCGGCAACTGCTTGCCTTTAAACCAGATCGGTTTATGGAGCCACCAGAAGAATCGTTGCCGTGCTTGGTTGGGATGATTAAGCAGTTGCCTCCTTCACTTTCAACAAGCAGAAAGAAAACAGCCAAGAATCTCAACTATAACAACGATGGCGATGCGGAGATGAGTGATGATGAAATTAAGGGCCAAAAACACACTTCAAAGAAGAGAAAACACCACCAAAGAGATGCATTGCCCAGTACACATATGGATTATGAAGGGGATAGCGAAATGACAAAAGAAGAAATCATTGATGGCTCGGACACTTCAATAATCGATGAACACAAAAGTGAATAGGAAGTTTCAGACTTTTCGTCCAGTTGGGACTCAATGGATGAATGGTTGCCTTAAGTTCGTAAACTATGATGTTAGAGGATGGTTACTTAGAGGGCAGCTTATCTCGGCATAACTGAAACCTAACTTGTATGTTTACAAAACAATTTGGTTGCTAAAAATTTTTTTATTAGAGCGCACACGATGAAAAATTGCTCTTTACAAAATCCAGTGGCGGCCATTTTGATGACGTCATAGAAAGCTCAAACATCTATAATTTTGAAACAATAAGTCAAACAATATAAGTGTTTCATAATTTTTGACTCAGTTTTGCATGTTATTTCGAATGATATACTCAGATTTGAAAAATGTTGTCATTAATATTTTACTGACCGGGGAGTAATTACGTCATCGATCACGTGATAACAACAAATTTTCGAGAATGTGCCCAAGGCTTAAATTGACGACCAACCATCATAGAAGTCATATCCACTTCAAAAATTTCGGTTACCCACTTTGCTAGATTGTTACAGTAAATTCCCTGTCTAATACCCATAATTCCGCAAGGCAAAGAGAATTTTTTAAAACACAACAAAATCATCAAACAATTTTGATATGTCCTTTGACTCAAATTTCAATCTTACAAATATTCTATGCTTTCATTTCTAACTGGACATTCATTCATTATAGCACATCCTAACACCTCAACCCTATTAAGGTCTATTTGGATATGTTGTGCAGCTTTTTTCTGAACGATAAGGAATTGATATAGAATCAACCGCTAGAGAGCAGTCTTTATGTAGGCTCAGTTTCAGGGTATAAAAATTGGTGAGCTTTTCTATAGCTGCTGTCTGTTTATCTGCCCGTCGAAAACTAGAACGTTGCTTATCCTTGGAAGTGGTAAAATGGCTAAGTCCTGTGCAGAGATGCAAAAAACCCTACAAGCCTTCCTGGTTTGAGGCAGGTTCTGGCCAAAAATGATGATGATTTTGTTGGCAAAAACGGCAAAAACAAAAATTTTTTGTTATTTTTCTTGTTCTGTCAACTGAAAATAAATCACCAATATATGATAGTGGTGAGGTTTTACTACAAACTTATTCAATCAAAGTTTAAGAATCAGGCTAGAAGGGTCAAAATAAATATGGGAAGAAAATCTATGATAAAATTTTGATGTGCCCGGAAACTTGTTCTTGAACAACTTGATAAGTGCTTTGATCCTCCGCTGAAAAACAGAAATATCGCAAGAACACCCACCATTTTATCTGTTCACCTTATTTACATTATTTCGTCTGGTAGAAGCACTGTTCAGCTGTTTTTCAGTAATTTAACATTGTGTTAAAATAAGGAAAGCTGTGGCCAATAATTGCAGGTTTTGAGGAAGGTCAACAACTTTTCAAACCCCTGCACCTGGTTACTTATTACAGGACAAGAAGTAAATATGATGTGTATTGTTCTGTTTTATTTGTTTTCTTTTGTAGGTGGACTATATTGATTACGCGGATGAAATCGCAAGGGAGATAGGCTGCAAGCCAAATATTTTGAAGCTGCTCTTCAAGGATCCGTCTTTGGCCTTTAGTTGTTTATTTGGCCCCTGTGTACCGTATCAGTACAGATTAATGGGACCAGACCCTTGGGATGGAGCAAAGAAAGCCATAGAAGCTGCTGAAGAGAATACTATTTTTCCGACAAGAACGAGAATTGTCAGCAAGACTAACGAGACTGGTTTTACAAACAAAACTTGCTTAGTGGTTGCCTTTATATTTTTAATGCTTGCAATTGCTGTTGCTGTCTTATGCAAGAGGATGTAAAAATTGAGTATATGCTTTATTACATCCACTTGTACAATAGATAACGCTTTTGATTTGAAGCTGCATGATTGTTATTTTGACCAATAAACGTGATTGTTATATACATATTAACATGCTTTTAAATTTTTATAGTAATGAAATTCGCTTGAGGGCCTGCTTGCTGCAGTCTCTATGATTATACAACCATGTGAAATACGTTGTTTATTCAATGTGGCTAAGACTTTGTGTTCTTTCATTTTTGCTATTAAGAACATATTGCGCAAGGAATTGTTTGCAGATCGTTAAGTTTGCATGGTATAAAAACTAGAAAGAGAGCACATTCTGAAAGGCCTATTTCCTGCTTCATTATAACTCGACGGTAAACAGTCATTATTTCTGAATACACTCCTTTTTTACAAGAACCAATATTTTTCTGAATTCTTCTTAAATTAATAGGGTGTAAGCAGTGCAATTGCTAGCTTTTTCGCCCTAGGGAAGTGTTCAGGCCCCATTTACAGACAAGTTTGATTCACCAAAAAAGCACCCATATATTGCTAAAAATCCTCGTTTTTCAGATGAAACGTTGTTCACAATCGCATTTTACAGTAGCTCAGCCTCAGTTTGTCTTTAAATTGTTCTCAACTTTTGACCACCAATTTATGGCTCGTGTTCTTATAAAAAAGAGTGTAGTGTAATAAGTACTACTCTGTCCATCAGCAATGACTTGTAATATTTTATGTTTGTGCCTTTGGCATCGTTTAAATCTTTTGAATTCAAAAGAAATATACTTAAGTGCTGAAGGAGGCATAAACCAAAGAAATGCAGTCATCAATTATCAACAATTTACCAGTACTGTTGAAACGATAGGATTATTGGGGGCAGGCATCATCATTGGAAACAAAGAATTTTCATGATTTTTAGAAGGGTTATAATTTTTCAAAATCATGCCTGACTGTGTGTACCTTCAACTTCATGGTAAGATTGAATGTACTACTGGCCATATCCCAGTTTTCGAACGCTTGAATGTCATTTCAGAGGAAGCAGTAATCAATAAGTCGATCATGTCAAAAAACAAGTTATCGCATCCATATTCCAAGGTTTACCAATCATGCTGTTGGAAAATAGGGATAAATCTTTAAGTTTTGTGAATGGTCAATTCTGCACTATCCACTGCTCAGCGACGCAGCATATATATCAGCAGCAACAACAACAAATTTGTGTTGGCGGCGCTAACTTCGCGCGGAAGGCTGCAGCAGCTGGGGAAATTCAGCATGGCAGAAAACGTATATTTGTTCGTCCCTAACCTGATCGGTAAGTGATTTACTCAATTCTCATAGTACTGTGTTTCTTTTTTTCAAAAAGGCCCCAAAGGAACATCTCAGCAAAATTTCGAGCAAGGTATTGTAAACAAATCAAGAATAATCAGCATCGATGATGTTTCAAGTCAATCAATCATTCTTGCAAACAAGCTAGGGGTCAATAATAAAGAATACAAAAGATCTCTTCTTGGTGTTTATTGTTTCACAGAATGTGATACAGTGAGTGCGTTTGCCGGTAAAGGCAAACTGAAAGGTTTGAAGTTACTGCAGAAGAAAAGAGAATTTGTGGATGCATTTGGATGTTGATGACAATCTAATCAATGTGTTGCAGATGTTTGTTTGCTTCCTGTAAGGTCAGAACAGTCAAAAGTCAATGAGTCAATCAGTCAAAATCACTAACTCTATCAATGATAATGTAACTTCATCTCAAAACTTGGGACATCCAGAAAGTGCCTATGGCATCTGTGTTGCCATATCAACAGATATTTACTTATTAATGTATAGAAGCACAAATACGCAGTAACAATTTGACATGAACATTAGGACAATATCAAGTAGCTAGCATACCATAATCTGCTATCAAAGTTTGTATTTATCTAATATACAGGTTTATTGTTAGCCATCAGTTTTCAGAGGTACAACGCTTTGATTGTGAAATAATGCCGCCCCCAAAATCATGGAAAGCTACCACCCCCGGAGGCCTATCATACCTTTTTGTTATCAGCACTAACTAAAGGGCAAAAGAACCATGATCTCTTTTACTCCCTCGCCCGGAGCCTCAAATTCCCTTCCTTTCTATTATATCAAAGTTAGTTTATTCTATCTTGAAAAATTTTAAATTCAGGCCATGCTGGGAATAAAATGGCAGGGGTGCAATGAATCGCACTCCTTGTGGTGCCAAGGCGTGCAATGGTGTGCTATTGCACCAAAGTACTTAATAATACAGTCAGCTGTATAAGGACTAGACTACATAACTTTATTATAAGAAAACATAATCAAGGCTAGTCCAATCAATACATTTTATCAAACAAGCTTTTATTAACATCAAACCCAACATATTAAAGAGAAAAATATTAACAATAAGGTAGGTTAATTAATATGTAATCCTGCAGTTTATAAACCCTTCTGGTCTGCTTCTCCTGACAATCTCGTTCTCAAAATTTAAGAATTCTAACTGTGCTTTCACCATAAAGAAAACTTATCTGTTGACTAATGTTAGAACGAATTAAATGGTTAATTGCACGTTTATATTTTGTAAGAAAGGTACAGTAGCTAAATCCTCACAATTCAAAGTCTCTTAATTTTGGAACATTTTTGCCCACATTTTATTAGTAAAAGTTTCTAAAATGTTTTGTATTTGCATACAGATTAGAAAAATGCACATAAAGTATACTGTATATAGAGGAATTGTGAGTCCTGAGAAAACGGGATTTTACTGATCCCACTTGCAAGATACACTCGTAAACCACAGTGTAATCTGGGTCAAATCATTTAAAGCTTAAAGATCAATAAGCCTGTCTAAATAAACAAAGCCTTACATGTGCCATGGGGTTGTAACTACAGTGGAATCCCAATATAACGAACTCTGAAGGGAACCAGAAAATATTTTGTATATCGGGAGTTTGTTAAACCGAGAGATAACGTTTTTTGGGGGTCCTTTCGCAGTTCGCGCCTAAAAAACCTGTGGTGGGCTTGTTTAGGCTATCTCCAACCTCTGTGCACATGTACAGCCATACATGTACCATTTAACTCAAAAAAACCAATCTGAATTCAAATAATACAACTGGCTGGTCATTGAAAATGAAAATCTTAATGTTCCTTTTATAACTTGGGACCAAGAGATTGGCAAAGCTGGTATCACTTCGCTCCTAGTTGGTGCCTGAATGATTTCTTCAATTACTTCACATTCTTATTTGTCTTTTTCTGCTTCTCCATCTGGGTCTCTCAATAAAGTTTTGTTGTCTCTCATTGCCAATGTCTCATATGTAAAAAGGTATTCAGTAGTGTCAATGTACTCATTTGCAGTAATTTCTGGCGCAATCAAACTTTCATCTCGTGGTCTGAGTCTATCAGCCAGTACTTGAAATGTATCATCGGCATGTTTTGCTGATTATAAAAATGATTTCTCCCCAAGAGAAAGTGATAAATAAACACCGAAAATAAATAAACAAAAATAACAGATGAAAAATTTATGAAAGTTCGTTATATCAAGGGTAATTATGATGAAGGGACCTAAAAATGGTTCGTGATAATGAGAGTTCGTTATATCCTGGGTTTGTTATACCGAGAGAATTTGTAAGGAGTTTGTTACGCAGAATCCAAGGGACCAGGCATTTAGTTTGTTATACCGGGAAGTTCGTTATATCCGGGGTTCGTTATATCGTGATTCCACTGCAGTTATTGCAAATGAGACAAGCGACCACAACTGCAAAGCAAGGATTATCGGCCTAAAAGGTCGAGCGATTTTCAGACCTCAACTCAAAACTTTGATAAAAAAATTATGGAAACCTTCGTTTACAGGAGTTTTTTGCCACTTTCAAAACTTCTGTTAGTTTTAGACATGGTATCATTGTGTGCCTTGAAAGTCCGGCTACTAGAATCTGAAGAAATCGAGAAGTGGATGTTTTCATCCAGAAAACGTTTACCATAACTTTAAGCAAATTAGAATATTCGCCAAATTTTTCGTCAAGTAGAAATCAAATAGAAACGATTGCGTGATTATCACCTTTCGTTCATAGTTGAATTATGATAAAAAAATTACATTGGGCCATATTGGTCACTTTAGAATAAAGTGTTCAGATTATTTAAGGCGTGCGATAAACTGCACTTCTGAGCAACGGAAGGCGTGTGCCAAGGCGTGGGCGTGCGATCGCACGCCATTCCCAGCATTGGAAGAAACTTGTTCATGCTGGATATAGTTTTTGGTCTAAGAGTGAGTTTATAAGCTGGCTATCACAAGGCTTACAGTGGTATTTATAACTAAACTTATAACCCAAGTGCACAACTGCAGAAACCTATTTAGGATTACAGAGTCCTTCAAATCTCTTTCACTCAAGAAGCAATTTAAGTATCTTTTTCTTTTGATACAGGGTATGCAAGAATTATACTTGCATTTGCCTCATTTTATTACATGCCAACATCACCTTACGTTGCTGGATTCCTCTATTTGATGAGTGGTTTCTTGGATGCACTTGATGGACATGCAGCTAGGGCTCTGAACCAAGGTATGAAGCTCAACTCAAACTCAAAATTTTCATTCACAGCAACAATTAACCACTACATGTATATCTATTAGATGAACTGCAAATAACAATAATTTTTTTACAAAAAATAAAAACTACATACAGTAGGTAGTTCAAAGTTTAATGTGTTTGATGTCAGACATATGAAAAGAACTCAGAAGGAGCTATCTAGGTCATATGCTGATTTGATGTGTATAGGTGACAAAATAAAGGCTTAGAAAACTTTAATAGTGATCTAAAGAAGATAAAATAATTTGAATGAAAATTAAAAACAAAATAATATAAAGATATCATTGGGTTAGTATAATAAGAGATGTAAATCATTTATACTAAAAACACAATAGTGAGAAGCATGGTGGTAATATAGGCTTTATAATCAGGTTCAAATGAGTATGTCAATTCATTTTAAATGATAGTTTTTTAGGTTTTTGATGAAAGATGAATTATTTGATAACTTTTTAATTGGTAATGGCAGAGAATTACAAATTTTAACTCCTTCATATACAATTGACTTGGTGAACTTTGTACTGATAATTGTACTGATATGAAATGGTGAACTTTGTACTGATTACTGACATATCAATTTAACCTGCCCCTAAGCTGGTCATAAAAGACCAGCTTCAGTTCAGAAATGTCTGCCAGATATGCCATGACAAATAAAGTTTGCATCTTTATTTGACATAGTTTGCAGTATTTCTTAGACCAGGGCTCCACAGATTTTTAAACTGCTTCTACCTTGATTTCATGCCAGTACCTTTTCAAAAGTTTTGCTTATTTAGCCAGGGTTGATCACATTAATGTACGATATGTACACTTTATATAACAATGGATTCAAATACAGTCAATCAAGGTGGCTATGTGCACAAAGAACCATTGTAATGCCCTTAAATGAATATCATACTACAAATAACTGAGTGAGTTATTGATATGTAGTGTGGTTTCACTGAGCACTATAAAATTTCTTTGTTTCTGTTAAAGCTTGAATTTTGTACTATTAGTATTTTATTTTTTAGCTTCCAAGTATGGTGCTGTTTTGGACATGCTGACTGACAGGTTTGTAGATAGTTTGTGTAAATATGTTGTAGGTATCTCATTATTAAATATCATGATAAATGCCAACTCAAAACAGTCACCTTAAATTGTAGTTAATCACCTTATATTCTTCTTATAGATGTGCAACTTTGTGCCTTCTTATGACATTGAGCTTATTCTACCCACCATGGACAATAGTTTTTCAGTTTCTGGTTTCTTTGGACATCACAAGTCACTGGGCACAGATGTATAGGTTGGAAATTCATTTAGAAGTTTTCAGTTTCAACTTGCTGATTTCAAAGTCATATTGTTTGTTATGTTAAAAAAATATTTTCATTAACAGTCAGCATTGGTTAAAATATTTATTTTTTTTAAAAACGTAAAAGTTTTTGGAATTTTCTTCCATTGTAAATAAATGTAAAGTCATCTGTCTCAAAATCTTACCTTAAAAACCTGCTTTTAGAGAGTTCATCTCATGTAGAGAGTGGAGTGCACCCAGGCATGTAGCTAGAAAGGGGTGTAGGGGGTGCAATACCCCCCATAGTTTTTCATGAGTTTGTCCATAAATCTTCGGTTGATCTACATAATCCTTAGTTTGGCAGTAAAATATTTTATTAATAGGTAAAATAGCACCTAAATTATTCTTCACAATGTCTTGATCAGGAAATTGGTATATTTAGATAAACTTTGCTGGATTAGATAAAAACAGAATTCATTTGTTTTTGTGACCTTCATAGTATTGGTGCATCCTGTTGATGGCAAGCATGAGCTGTTGGACTTAAGAATTCCAAACACAATATTAAGAGGAACACTTTACCAATTGTGTTATTTTCATCACAAGATTCAGAGGGTCAGCAAACGACTCGGACTTTCTTACACTAAATGCTACTGATTGTACTAACTTAAATTTTAGCTCCATGATGAAAGGCAAACTAAGCCATAAGTCAGTAGAAGAAACAGCCAATCCTTTTTTGAAACTGTACTATACATCAAGGGTAAGGAGTTGTTATCAAAATTCGAAACTCAATGTTTGGTAGAAATATAGTTACTTGGTTTTCAGACTTATGAAGAAAAGTTTGTTTTAGTGTGTAGAATTTTATTGTTCTAAGTGACAGCTCCAAGTCATATTCTTAATATAATCATCAGGCATTTGCCTTTTCTACACTCCAAGGCATGTACAGTTTTGTCTGTTTGGTGTCAATTTTTATATATGACAGACCAGAAAAATATTCTTTATTAAGTAGTTACCAATATATAGATAATATCCAAGCTGTCATTTGATATCTATAGACTTATAAACTTTTCATCTTCAAGCCACATATTTGAGTACTTCTTATACCTTTTTGAATTTTTTAATCTTTTCATGTACCAATTTTTTTATTGTCAATCCTTTGCTGTTTAGGTTGTATTGTTTATAATGTGTGCTGGAAACGAATTATTCTTTGCAATGCTGTACATGATACACTTTGAGCCTGGTCCCACAAGTAAGTACAAGTCTAATTCTCTTTGTTAGTTTGAATGACACTATTGAGTTGTTGCTTGTTTATGCACTGTTGTTAAACCCATTGCCATCTGTACCTAATAAATGATCCATGACCTTGTCCTTTCTTAAATGTTATTTTGTATGTCACAGTAATATTTTATGACCAATCAAACAACTGCAAGTAATAAAGGGAATGTGCAAAATTCTCAACTTTTGTGATCCATTCCTTACCAATATCATTATCATCCTGTTTTGAATAAAGCTGTCATGGTAATAACTTATCAGGTCAACCCTAAAATCATGGTCAAGGGTACTCTCAAACAGTCCCACGGTATTTTCCAGAACCCATATTTCAGTAGTCACTTTTATCATATTCATTATTGTCATATTCTTAAAATTTAGAATATCAGTTAATCTGACATAAAGCTAGTAGGGAAGGGTGATAAAGCACCAAAAGGTCTATGTAACCACTTCTAATGATTTCAGATAATCAAAGCCAGATATTATTACGATTTTGCACCCTCGCTCCCTCAATTCAATGCTGATAGCCAATTCCATTTTGTTCTCTTTCATAACTAGATGCTTTTTCTGTTCAATGCAAATCTTTAGGTCTTTATTCTTTACTATTTTTTATACCAGTATTATCTGTTGCTATTTGGCTATCATTTTAAGTTTTTATCTTTATATCAAAGTTATATTCTGCAGTTGCCTAAGCAATGATGTTTTATTTCTCTTTATAAACTGTTTTCCATGACCCGTGTTTTATTTTTGTGAGCAGCATTTGCAGTTCCTTCCAGCCAACATTCAGCCCTGTTTCCATACTAGTTTTCCGGTTTTTCAATTTATTTTGTCAATTTGTTTCCCCCCCCCTCCCCCCTAAGACAGATAGCACTGAATGAATCGATATAAAATTAAAGAATAGATGGATAAGCAGATAAGTAAATACTGTAAGTCCTTGAGTTGCCCCCCCTCGAATAAGCCCCCCCCTCGAATAAGCCCCCACCCTAGAACTACAAATTTTCAAAAAGCCCCCCGAATAAGCCCCCCTCTGCCATTGTAAATCTTTGAATTGGTCCCCCCTTGATTTGTTGATTTTTGCCATCTGTGGTTGTCTTTGGCGTTTTATTAAATTATCTCAAAAGTTCATTCTTTTCGTAATAATTTATTAAATGTTCGTAAAGAAATTCTTACTTAAATATGCGAGGTCTTTTAATAATGTCTTCTTCATTATGTACAGCGAATTCCAAAAAATTTAGTTTTTCTAGCATTTTTATCACCAACCTTTGTGAATGTTTCAGGTAATTTTATAAGCCCCCTTGTATAAGCCCCCCCTTAAATAACCCCCTATCCAAAAATATCAGAAAAAATAAGGGGACTAATTTGAAGATATACGCTAAATAATTAACTAAACAAATTAACAACTAAATGAATACATTAATATATATTTATCTAATGAACAGTTATTGAACCCCAATCCACAGATGCTCCATGGTGCTTTTTAGATTCTATTCCCAAAATTCAATAGTTGAAAAAAGGCTTTTAATGCATCATAACTATCCATAGTATAAGCCTTGCATGGTATGAATTCTTCTTTGTACAAACACATTTTTACATGAAACAATCTTTCTTTCTAGTCAATATATTTAGCACCAGGCTGGGCTTGTGGCAGTTACTAGCTGGTATCTGTTTTCCCATATCCTTCATAAAGAACTTGATCAATTTAGTTCAGATGATTGGAGCCTTCCAGGCCATTGCCAACAGTGATGTATTGGAGCGACAGAAAAAAAAGTGATGTATGAAATATTTATGGTTTTTCTGGATCAGTTTTCAGCTATTTGCATATTCCTGCATTTATTGGTAATTTTATTTATTACCGAGTGAAACATTATTATTGGTCATAATGAGAAACAAAATCTGTTCACTCTAGTTTAAATAATGCAGAACAATTAGACAGATCCTTCAATTTTACATTCGAATCATTGACAACAAAGATTGTTTTACGCTCCCTTCTTTTCTGTGGTAATCAGGGGTGTAGCTACCTGTGAGAAAGGGGTGATGTGACACCCCAAATCCTTCGTGTGTGGATCAGTACATCTTCAGATGGTCCACAAAATCCTTAGTTATTCGGTACAATCGTCGGGTAAAACAGCATCTAAAATTTTGTCCTCGTCGGTAAATTCCCAAATCTATTGATGACCCTCAACCCCCTAATCTGGAAGGTCAAACTGCGTCACCGGTTGTAATAGATTTTAGAAATGACACATTATCTTTGAGAATGCTCTGCCAAGGCCAACAGCAAGAATCAAACGCATAATCAAGTTTCTTTTTCTAAAAAGACATTTTTGTCGATAACTATAGTAACAAATTTTACTAGTATCTTCAAGCTGTATTTATTTTTTAAAGCGTACAATATGGTACCTATTTGACATTTTATTGTGCTCCTTCTTCGAATTTCAGTTATTGGAACAAATGCGTTACTTATTGAATAATAATACTTGCAGTACGCTTTGTCAACAATGCTTTAATTGCTTTGTATGTTTTGATTTGATGTTTTGATTTGAAGTGAAGGTAGAACTTTTGAAGCAGTAATTTCTTTTTTGGCTTTATTTAATTTCCTGGTGAATTTAGAAGCATAATCAAGCGTCAAAGAGTACATTCACCCGGGAATTAAATAAGCTTTTTGGCTTATTTCTAACTTTTTTGAAATACTGGTGTGGAAATACTGCCCCAATTTCCTATGATTGATTTTTGATTTTATCCAAAATCGACGAGAAAATGGTGGCTGGCTGTTGGATTTGGCAAGATATTCGGCTTTCTTGAAAACTTGATGACTTTTAAAAGGTCAATTTTTCGCAAAAAGGTAAGGTTATATCATTGGAAAAATTTCCAAAATTTGCCAAAAAATGTTTTACCAAAAGAAGGGCGTAAATGATTGCCTGTGATCAGAAACTACTAGAAATCAATTCAGTTTGGCAAATGAAGTTGCTTTTTCATGCAATTTTGATGATTTTTTTCCAGTCAATTTTTCACAAAAAAGTAAGGCTATCAGCTTGGAAAAATTTCCAAAATTTGCCAAAAAATGTTTCACCAAAAGAAGGGCGTAAATGATTGCCTGTGATCAGGAACTACTAGAAATCGATTCAGTTTGGCAAATGAAGTTGCTTTTTCATGCAATTTTGATGATTTTTTTCCAGTCAATTTTTCGCAAAAAAGTAAGGCTATAAGCTTGGAAAAATTTCCAAAATTTGCCAAAAAATGTTTCACCAAAAGAAGGGCGTAAATGATTGCCTGTGATCAGAAACTACTATAAATCAATTCAGTTTGGCAAATGAAGTTGCTTTTTCATGCAATTTTGATGATTTTTTTCCAGTCAATTTTTTGCAAAAAAGTAAGGCTATAGGCTTGGAAAAATTTCCAAAATTTGTGAAAAAATGTTTCACCAAAAGAAGGGCGTAAATGATTGCCTGTGATCAGGAACTACTAGAAATCAATTCAGTTTGGCAAATAAAGTTCCTTATCATGCAATGTTGATGATTTTTTCAAGTCAATTTTTCGCAAAAAAGTAAGGCTATAGGCTTGGAAAAATTTCCAAAATTTGTCATAAAATCTTTCACCAAAAGAAGGGCGTAAATGATTGCCTGTGATCAGGAACTACTACAAATCAATTCAGTTTGGCAAATGAAGTTGCTTTTTCATGCAATTTTGATGTTTTTTTCCAGTCAATTTTTCGCAAAAAAGTAAGGCTATAGGCTTGGGAAAATTTCCAAAAAATGTCAAAAAATGTTTCACCAAAAGAAGGGCGTTAATGATTGCCTGTGATCAGGAACTACTACAAATCAATTCAGTTTGGCAAATAAAGTTGCTTTTTCATGCAATATTGATGATTTTTTTCAAGTCAATTTTTCGCAAAAAAGTAAGGCTATAGGCTTGGAAAAATTTCCAAAATTTGTCAAAAAATGTTTCACCAAAAGAAGGGCGTTAATGATTGCCTGTGATCAGGAACTACTAGAAATCAATTCAGTTTGGCAAATAAAGTTCCTTATCATGCAATGTTGATGATTTTTTCAAGTCAATTTTTCGCAAAAATGTATGGCTATAGGCTTGGAAAAATTTCCAAAATTTGTCAAAAAATGTTTCACCAAAAGAAGGGCGTAAATGATTGCCTGTGATCAGGAACTACTAGAAATCAATTCAGTTTGGCAAATAAAGTTGCTTTTTTATGCAATTTTGATGATTTTTTTCCAGTCAATTTTTCGCAAAAAAGTAAGGCTATAGGCTTGGAAAAATTTCCAAAAAATGTCAAAAAATGTTTCACCAAAAGAAGGGCGTTAATGATTGCCTGTGATCAGGAACTACTAGAAATCAATTCAGTTTGGCAAATAAAGTTGCTTTTTCATGCAATTTTGATGATTTTTTTCCAGTCAATTTTTCGCAAAAAAGTAAGGCTATAGGCTTGGGAAAATTTCCAAAAAATGTCAAAAAATCTTTCACCAAAAGAAGGGCGTTAATGATTGCCTGTGATCAGGAACTACTAGAAATCAATTCAGTTTGGCAAATAAAGTTGCTTTTTCATGCAATTTTGATGATTTTTTTCCAGTCAATTTTTCGCAAAAAAAGTAAGGCTATAGGCTTGGAAAAATTTCCAAAATTTGTCAAAAAATGTTTCACCAAAAGAAGGGCGTAAATGATTGCCTGTGATCAGAAACTACTAGAAATCAATTCAGTTTGGCAAATAAAGTTGCTTTTTCATGCAATTTTGATGATTTTTTTCCAGTCAATTTTTCGCAAAAAAGTAAGGCTATAGGCTTGGGAAAATTTCCAAAAAATGTCAAAAAATCTTTCACCAAAAGGGCGTAAATGATTGCCTGTGATCAGGAACTACTACAAATCAATTCAGTTTGGCAAATAAAGTTGGTTTTTCATGCAATTTTGATGATTTTTTTCCAGTCAATTTTTCGCAAAAAAGTAAGGCTATAGGCTTGGAAAAATTTCCAAAATTTGTCAAAAAATGTTTCACCAAAAGAAGGGCGTAAATGATTGCCTGTGATCAGGAACTACTACAAATCAATTCAGTTTGGCAAATGAAGTTGCTTTTTCATGCAATTTTGATGTTTTTTTCCAGTCAATTTTTCGCAAAAAAGTAAGGCTATAGGCTTGGGAAAATTTCCAAAAAATGTCAAAAAATGTTTCACCAAAAGAAGGGCGTTAATGATTGCCTGTGATCAGGAACTACTACAAATCAATTCAGTTTGGCAAATAAAGTTGCTTTTTCATGCAATATTGATGATTTTTTTCAAGTCAATTTTTCGCAAAAAAGTAAGGCTATAGGCTTGGAAAAATTTCCAAAATTGTCAAAAAATGTTTCACCAAAAGAAGGGCGTTAATGATTGCCTGTGATCAGGAACTACTAGAAATCAATTCAGTTTGGCAAATAAAGTTGCTTTTTCATGCAATATTGATGATTTTTTTGAAGACAATTTTTCGCAAAAAAGTAAGGCTATAGGCTTGGAAAAATTTCCAAAATTTGTCAAAAAATGTTTCACCAAAAGAAGGGCGTTAATGATTGCCTGTGATCAGGAACTACTAGAAATCAATTCAGTTTGGCAAATAAAGTTCCTTATCATGCAATGTTGATGATTTTTTCAAGTCAATTTTTCGCAAAAATGCCACTCTAACTGGGTATCTCATGCCTGCGACCTTAGGGTACGCTATGGAATACAGGAATCGGATAATCGTTCAGTTATTAAAACTAAGGTTATAAGTTATTTCGAGTCAGAAGTACTGGGAAGATTGAATGAACACATAACTGAGAACAAAAAACTAAATTTATACGCCTCATTTAAAACAATTTACAAATTTGAGTCTTATCTTGATTACATACAAGATTTCACTGTTAGATGCATATTAGCAAAACTAAGAATCAGCGCTCACAATCTTCAAATTGAAACAGGGCGATTTAGTAAAAACAAAACTCCAAGAGATGAAAGGTTTTGTCCGTACTGTAAGACTTTAGATATTTTCAAAGTTGAGGATGAAGTACATTTCCTCTTAACTTGCCCCCTTTTTAACGAGGAACGGCAAATTTTTTTACAAAAAATCCACAAAACATTTCCAAATACTTCCGCGTTGAACGAATTCAATATGTACATTTGGTTAATGAGCCAAGAAGATTATATTACAACAAAGGTTTTAGGAAATTTCTGCAAAAAGTCCTTTGAAAAAAGATCAAAATTTTTAAGCGACCCCACAAGCATTTTAGATTAACAGCTAATAATTTTGTAGCTTAGTAGCTTTTGCTGAAAATTTAGCTTTGTATTCGCCGTAGTTGTTTTGTTATTAATGCGTAGTTAAAAATGTAATTGTAAAATTGTAATTCGCTGTAGTACTGTAAGCAGTTAAGGGCCATCTCGGCCTAGATACTTGAATTGCAAAAAAAAAAAAAAAAAAAAAAAAATAGGCTTGGAAAAATTTCCAAAATTTGTCAAAAAATGTTTCACCAAAAGAAGGGCGTAAATGATTGCCTGTGATCAGGAACTACTAGAAATCAATTCAGTTTGGCAAATAAAGTTGCTTTTTTATGCAATTTTGATGATTTTTTTCCAGTCAATTTTTCGCAAAAAAGTAGGGCTATAGGCTTGGAAAAATTTCCAAAAAATGTCAAAAAATGTTTCACCAAAAGAAGGGCGTTAATGATTGCCTGTGATCAGGAACTACTAGAAATCAATTCAGTTTGGCAAATAAAGTTGCTTTTTCATGCAATTTTGATGATTTTTTTCCAGTCAATTTTTCGCAAAAAAGTAAGGCTATAGGCTTGGGAAAATTTCCAAAAAATGTCAAAAAATGTTTCACCAAAAGAAGGGCGTTAATGATTGCCTGTGATCAGGAACTACTAGAAATCAATTCAGTTTGGCAAATAAAGTTGCTTTTTCATGCAATTTTGATGATTTTTTTCCAGTCAATTTTTCGCAAAAAAAGTAAGGCTATAGGCTTGGAAAAATTTCCAAAATTTGTCAAAAAATGTTTCACCAAAAGAAGGGCGTAAATGATTGCCTGTGATCAGAAACTACTAGAAATCAATTCAGTTTGGCAAATAAAGTTGCTTTTTCATGCAATTTTGATGATTTTTTTCCAGTCAATTTTTCGCAAAAAAGTAAGGCTATAGGCTTGGGAAAATTTCCAAAAAATGTCAAAAAATCTTTCACCAAAAGGGCGTAAATGATTGCCTGTGATCAGGAACTACTACAAGTCAATTCAGTTTGGCAAATAAAGTTGGTTTTTCATGCAATTTTGATGATTTTTTTCCAGTCAATTTTTCGCAAAAAAGTAAGGCTATAGGCTTGGAAAAATTTCCAAAATTTGTCAAAAAATGTTTCACCAAAAGAAGGGCGTTAATGATTGCCTGTGATCAGGAACTACTAGAAATCAATTCAGTTTGGCAAATAAAGTTGCTTTTTCATGCAATATTGATGATTTTTTTCAAGTCAATTTTTCGCAAAAAAGTAAGGCTATAGGCTTGGAAAAATTTCCAAAATTTGTCAAAAAATGTTTCACCAAAAGAAGGGCGTTAATGATTGCCTGTGATCAGGAACTACTAGAAATCAATTCAGTTTGGCAAATAAAGTTGGTTTTTCCTGCAATTTTGATGATTTTTTTCAAGTCAATTTTTCGCAAAAAAGTAAGGCTATAGGCTTGGCAAAATTTCCAAAAAATGTCAAAAAATGTTTCACCAAAAGAAGGGCGTTAATGATTGCCTGTGATCAGGAACTACTAGAAATCAATTCAGTTTGGCAAATAAAGTTGCTTTTTCATGCAATATTGATGATTTTTTTGAAGACAATTTTTCGCAAAAAAGTAAGGCTATAGGCTTGGAAAAATTTCCAAAATTTGTCAAAAAATGTTTCACCAAAAGAAGGGCGTTAATGATTGCCTGTGATCAGGAACTACTAGAAATCAATTCAGTTTGGCAAATAAAGTTGCTTTTTCATGCAATATTGATGATTTTTTTCAAGTCAATTTTTCGCAAAAAAGTAAGGCTATAGGCTTGGAAAAATTTCCAAAATTTGTCAAAAAATGTTTCACCAAAAGAAGGGCGTAAATGATTGCCTGTGATCAAAAACTACTAGAAATAAATTCAGTTTGGCAAATGAAGTTGCTTTTTTGAAAAACTGATGATTTTCTAAGGGGAAATTTTTCACGAAAATTGTAAGCTTGGAGTTACTGCCAGAATTGGACTTAAAGCTTTTCTTTTCCAGAAAGGATAGAAATGATCGAATATGATCAGAAACAGCAGCAAAACAGTTACATGAATACATGCTAAAATGATAATGACCATTTGTTCTTAGAGGACAACAACGATGGAAAACAGAGGATGTAATAACCTAGATTTTAATCGAGAAAAGTCTAATCTTTTTAGTAGCCACTTTGAAATGCAAAAACTCTAGTTCAACATGGATAAATTTCAAAATGAACATTCTGCATAAACTTTGGCATTTTTAGATAAAATCTTGGCTGGCATTTTTGGCACCTTTGCTTAATATCCTTACCATCAAGCATATGCAATGACCTGCAAATTATGATGCGTTCGGAAAAAATGCAATCTTTATGAACACCTTTTCCTATTCTTTGAGTATAGATATGTTATAAAAAACAATACTATCTCCTTGAAGACACTTAGTGCTTAAGCAAACAGTAAGTTTTTGGTCAAAATCAAGCTCCCAAACCAAAGGAAATTTGGCAATTTTCGGCAAAGAATTATCCACATCTAATCAAAGATAATGAAAACGACACTAAAGTAGCGTTTCTTCGATTGTATGTTACGCAAAATTATGTGTAGTTTAACTTTTAGTCAACGCCATGGTGTAGTCATACATTATTCTTCCTGATGGTTTGGTACTTATAGAAGAGTTAGGTAGTTGGAAAGTAGTGAAATTTCGTGTCATGTGTTGTGAATTTTTAGAGGTATAAAAAACGATACAAAAGATTCCCTTAACACTTGAAAACCTTCTTAAAGGCTGTAGATAAAGATAGAACAAATTCTGATGTAAAAAACCATAGTCTATGAAAAAACCAACGAACTAAAACCATTCTAGCAATTTTTGGACCGAAATGAAAGTTAAGGCATAGCCCTTTGGAAACAAGAAATTATTTTTAACGACTTTTTCCTTGCTTATGACTAAAGATAAGTTAAAGTAATACTTAATAGTTAATGAGCTCTTTGACGTTTGAAAACTTCTAAAAATGCTTGAGCACAACTGCTGATGTAATTTCAGTGAATGCATTCACAGATTCAGTAACTTCTGGAAAAAATTAATGGAAATACCCTTACTCTTTTTCGCTTACGACTAGAAAATTTGCGAAGCCGAAACTCATAATAACTTAAACACTGATAATGGAATGGACTTAACTTACTCTGAGTAGATAAATAATGATTCTTTTTTCAAGCCCCCGTTGATAATCGAAATTGATAATCTAGAAATTAGAAGTAGAAACGCCGATTTTGCATTTTCCATGACCCCCGTGTATTTGAACTACCCCCGTCTATATAAGCAACCCCCGTTTATTTTAACTAACCCTGTGTATATAAACTTCCCTCGTTCTTCAAGATCTCAGGGACCTCAGGGTTGGTACGACTTGATATAAAAATCTCTGTTGAAACAAGACAGGAGAGAATTCCCAAGCTTGAAAGTTTTGCTTGAAAGTGTTTCCATTTTAAAACAGGGTAACTTCAAGCAAAAGAAACAAAAAAAAATTTGCGCCATGAATTATTCTGTCTACCCATACTGGTCTTGCTAACTAATCATGTAATAAGCCTTACTAAGGCCTGCTAAAAAGTAACAGTGTTCTTAATTTGTGTGACATCATCTTATAGATTATATACTACGTTCAACAAATGCAACCAAACATGATACAAAAGTCTATCTTCTTGTCCCTTCTGCTAGATTGATACAAAGGATGGATTGCAAACTTTGACGTCTATTCTGCAGGTCGTTTTTCCGCATATTTTTTTGTGAATTCTTCTGCATTCTTTTCATACTGTCTTCGATTTCTAGTGTACTCCTCCGCAAGATCAGCACGCAGTGGATGCTCAGGTTCAGGGTCATGTACCAATGCAACCAGTGCCTGAATCACTGTTCAAATGTTGGGTAAAAAATTAAATCTATAACCAAAATAGTTTACAAAATGTTGTTTACTTGGAGAGCCACTGCTGCATGAGCACAATTGATTTCCAACTGGATCTCCCCAACAATACATTACATGAAAAATAACATTAGAATAGAATTTGAGCAATGCAAAAACATCCAATAAGCTTTTGTCAATTGACCAACAAGCAGAATTTTGTAACATCTTTGTTGTTTTCAATTGTTTCAATGCTTGCATATGACGATTGGTAGCTTTTTGACTGGTAATACATGCCAGGTACTTTTCAATGACTGGTGACTAATGACATGAATTTAAGCCTTGGTAGACAGTTTCAATACCCCCAAAGTTGCACCCGTTTTGGAGACACACAGGATTAATAACAACAATAACAACAACAACAAAGAAAAATTATATTGTTTCTTGAAACAAACCTTGCTCAGTTTTAGTAGCAGGCTTCCAGTTTTCTGGGCTAATTATTGGTAAACAAACTTGACCTTTCTCATCAATATTTGGATGATAAATTTTAGTTTTGAAGGTTACCTATGAAATGTAAACATAACATTACACATGATGCAATTTTGTCAATATTCATAAGAGTAAATACTTTATAAAAGTATGCAATTGCCTGTGACTGGATATCTAAAAAAGCAAAGTTAAAAAGTGTTGTATCTATTAGGGTCCTTATTGTAATCTTTGTAAGTAGCATCCACACTTCATTTAATAAGATATAAACCCCAAAAAGTAATCAAATCATATCTTATTTCTTTTACCGACTTGACTGCAAGCAAATATTGGTAACAGTGTAAGCTAAGAACAGGCTCTTGTGTAAAGATAGCAAACTTTATTGATCTACAAAAGTTATGTGGTTTAGATTGGCACAAAATTTAGCAATTTTATGAATAACTTGACTTACCTTTGGTGGCTTAAAAGGATATTCTGCTGGAAAATTGATTTCTATTTTAAAAGCGCCTTTATTATATGGAACCTTGTCCTAAAACAAATTGAGTTGCTTAGTAAGCTTGAAACAAAAATAGGTCTCCTTGGTGGCAGAAATCAGGATTTAAGTCCCATGAAAAAGCCAGCAAATGAATAATACAACCACCAGGCAATCAAATAAAACTGGAAAACAATATGCTTCCAATGATTCAATTTAACACAAGTTTTTTTTTCAAATTAAGCATTCAAATTATTACTACCTATACTAAACTTTGAAATAATGCAAAGATCTTTGAGAGGATATTAACATGGTAGGATAAGGTTTTTGAAACACAATAAAAAACAAGATTCCTTGCTGTATGACAACATTAACATAAAATAAGAACAGAAGCTATACAATAGTATACTACTAAGGCTAATGAAGTTTGCCAATGTGCAACCATTAAGTACAACTTCTTAACCATTACTATTTTGTCATGTGAGTAAAATATGAAGAGCAGATGATACAGAAATAATTTTTTTCAATGAAAAAGTCAAAATGTCAATAACTTACAGGAACAATTAACCCTTGCCAATATAGAATATTTGACTCATCAACTTGAATTTGCCGGAAGACTTTTAAACCAGAATTTCTTATATCATTCAGTTCCTGTTGGAAAAGCAAAGATATTTTGTGAAAATCCATTTGTAACACATGTTAGTTTAAGGTAGTCTCTGATTGGCTAATATGAACAATTGGTCTTCCTGCCTTAACAGATTACCCTGCTGTCTCTGATTCGTTTAAATCATTGGTTGAAAAAAGTTGAGCACAATAGGGGACAGATTGCCTCTAAGAAGGGGTCTTTTTCAAATAGCTTAGTGAAAGCTGCTACTGAAATAAAAATCTATCAAAAAAAGAAGACCAACTTTTAAACCAAATGGCTATGAACTGAAAATACAGAACAAAGCTCCTTTTCTCAGAAGTGCTTTGTTTCAATTTCATATCTAAAGTTATCTGCTAATTTGGCAGTAAGCTAAGTTACCCAAAAAAGCTGTAAAATATAAACCACTGTCTTTAAACATGAAATTTTGATCACCAAATGTTAAATTATACCACTCACCCAAACTGTGAGGCACATAAATGTTCATATTTCTCAAAAATTTATTGTTTCATAAAAATTCTGAGAAACACAATATCTTTACGAAAAAATGAGACAGCAAGAAAGAAGGAAGGATTTCTGAAATATTAAATGTGCTAGACATGTAATTGATCTACCTGCCATCATTATGTTTTATTTTTTGCCCCATTTAGTTAATATTATTTTGCAAATGTTTACAAGAAATTTTTAAGAAAAAAATCAGCAAACGTTTGAAAATATATACAAAGAAATTCACATAATTAAAGTTAGCCAAGGCAGCAAAAGGCTTGTTCTTGAGCAACATTTAGCTTAGGCAAAATGGAAAACTGTCCATTTAATTAAATAAACCTCAAAAGGAAAAAATCCAGAACATTTACCATAAAGAAGCCGAATTGTAATTGGCTCTTACCTAGTAAAGTAATGCTGGCTAGAACCAACTCATAATGAGAGAAATCATTAATCAATAATTTTTAATATAATTCTTGACAAAGAACCCAGAAATTTTCTCTTTTTTGTAATCCCCTTGGCTTCAAATGTATTGCTCAGTCATATCTGAAATGACTGCCCAAAAAATGAACCTCACTGAAAATGCCATCATTGTGAAATTGCAATTACAGGTCCCTTGAAAGTCTCAGGGCAAAAGCAGGGTCTGGGGGCACAGCTCAAGAAAAGTTTTCGCTTCCACGCCCTCTGGTTCTTCGGAAACACCTATTTTGAGTAAATACCTGTTACCGAGACCCTTATTGCAAGATGCTGTCATCATCAGGCAAATTATTACATGAAAATCACCCTGTTTGGGAGGTGATTTGAGAATTGATATGGAGTCACTCCCTACCAGAGCATTGTAGCAAAATCCCACTAATTCGACATGCTCTGCTTTAAAACCTAGCATTTTGTTATTGTTTTCTGCTTTCAAGCAATATGGTCATTAGTGAACAATGGAGATTCTTGAGATTTGGGCTGGCTATTAGATAATACCTAATGAAAATCACCCTTACATTTTTGTATTTAGATTCAGGAGGAACTACAAAGGAGAAACAGGCTTTAACATTACTATCTGTCTCTCAAGTTTCAGGCTTGTTTTTCACCATTTTATGCATTTAACCGAAACCTCAGAAAACACACTCTGGAGAAAAGTTACTCTGCTCTGCTCCACTCTGTTAACAATCCAGTATAGTTTTACTCTTACTCAAGGGAGATTATACTTCTTCCATACATTTTCAAAAAATTTACTTGTGTGCAATAGTGGCAATAGAGCTAACCATTGTCTCGTGCAGGCAAGAAATGTGGGGACTTGCTGCTATTCAGTCATTTTATATGCCTTGTTAGGAACAAGGACTTTCGCTAGGGTTTGGAGAAACAAATGAAAAATTTGAATAGACCAATAATTTATTGCAGAATGCGTGAGATGTCTACTTTAATGTATGAGAGCATGAGAAAAGACCAAAATGCATATGTCTCATGCAAAATACTTAAGATTTGGTAGGTCTGATCTGCTCTGCCACATAATTCTTTGGCCACATAAATGAGTTTAGTTCAGCTTTTATTTTTTAAGATTTTAAACATTTTGATGTTTATGATGTATTCAAATCAATTTACAGATTAATAGACATTATCAGGTATTTAATTGCAAAGAGAGGTCACTGATTTAGCCATTTACCATGTATTATTTATCAAACATGGAATCCTACTAGGGAAATTTGAATTTTGTCAAGTCATCTTAGAAAAGTCAGAAAATATAAACCTCAGAGAAGCAGGCCAGTTAGTTTTTAGAAGTAGATTGTCCTCTTTTAAGAGTAAATGTATTAAGAGATTAAAAGCTAAATTACAAAGTAAACTCAGAAACGTTTAAAATCTTCCGATAAATTCAAATTCTAACTCATAACCAGGAAATTGAAAAGAGTGGGTATTTTGGCTATGGGAAAGTTCTACCAAAGACGCCAACGGCACCATTGGTACATCAAACAGCAGTGTAAAACATTACAGTCTCAGATTGGAATTTTTGCCTAGGGCAGGAATTCATCCCCCACACACATCAAGTGTGAGCCAAAATTGCAGCCAAAATGCACAGAGTTTTTCCATGCACATGACATGTAAAAATTATCTTGTATGTACTTAATAATTGACGCTTTTAATGTAATTGGAATTTGAAGACCCTCAGAGTTGCAGATCGTCTAAATCGTCATTACTTTTTGCTTGTGTACATATGAGGCTGGTTTTTGTGCACACATGCCAAATAATAGCAAACATGTGAAGGATATTTTATCATTTCTGGGAGCAAAATACACATAGAACAGGATGATTTAATTTATTACCATGCAAAAAGTTTTCAAAGTTTAAGCAGATTTTGGTTCATGGAAATAATTCTCATCTGGTTGGGTCCTTCTCATCTTATTTTTAGGAATTATGAAAAATTTTTATCTTTGCTATAAAAAATGTTTATCTATCTTTGCTTTAGTTCAATTATATCACCACTAATGATGTCACTAATGTTTTTCTCCTGTAATGTATACCCAAAAGTAACACTGTGTTTTAATGGTAATTAGTCTTAACCGCACAAAAATTTTATCTGTATTATTTGCAAATGCACAATTTTCATGGACATGCAACAGATCCCCCGCGCATCTTTCAAAGATTGCAATCTGGTTACAGTCCACTTCTCGGAATTTAGGCTGACTTTGATTACATCTGAAAATTGGCCGTTATCGAAAACGGCAGTGCATGCTCTGTTCTTTGTTATTTTCAAATATGCTTATCGTCACCTTACTACTTTGAGACCTCGACCCAACAGACAGCACCTGTAACCCAAGTAAATGCAAGCTGTCGCCCTCACTTGGAGCAGCGAACTCAGGCATAGATGATGCCGTAAACTGCCAAAGAACTTACGATACGATATATATACGTTTTGCCATTAGATGGGAAAAGGCATGTCTCAAAAACACTGCAGTGATATATTTGCTCGTATTTTCAGGCGTGAACTGCAGCAGAAAAGACTCGAGAACGCCCTAAAATAGAAGTTTAGGGTGAAATCCACTCACCTTGGTTAACCTCCTTGTAGCAGCCATCTTGAGCACAGAAGGAAGGAGGAGACTGGGCTGAGTTTCGCTTTTCATCCGTATAAGATGACGTCAAAACAAGGCAAGTCAGATCTGCACCTGCCGTTGCATCTTGGGTTAACATAGAACATTCATAAATTCGAAAAAAGTAAAAAACTAAAAATGACATCAGAAAATTACTTTTGAACAAACTCTCTGGGGGGTGATTGCCCCTCCAGCTCCAGTGAGTTTCCTTCCATTGTTTCAAACAATAGGCTATTGTCCTCCCATTTTTAGAAACAAGGGTCTGTTTAGGAGTGGAGAGGGAACAAATATTTTATGGCATCATGTTCACGTTCATTTTATGTACATTTCCCACGTTAGGAGCCATTGGCAGTTGACTTGACCAAGTCTTACTTGTGCAACATGAAAAATGCTTATCAATGTCAAATCAGGGCAAAATTTTGAAGGTAACGGGAGCAGAGAACAGTATGTCTTTCCTTCTTTTTTAACGAAACTGAACCTCTAAGCCCGGGTCCTCTCTTCCCTTCATTTCAAGGCAAATCAACAGTGACATCAAAAATCAAAATTTTTGCACAATATCAGAGAACCGGAACGCAGAAAACTGGAGGAAGGTATTTGGGCATTTGCCCTCCTACTTACACTAAGTCCTTGCGAATTGCTTATCTTTTGATTTGCCACCATTGAATCGCTTTGAATTAAAACGTTTCTTCAGGAGATCTGCAGGATCCTAATTGGTGGTTCAGAAAAAGGATATTTACACGAGACCGCCATCCTTATCTGTTTTAGGTCACTATTCCAAGTAGACACGTTTGGTCAGTCCTTAAAAAGGCCTTTTGTAAAAATTATCAAAATCAACTGCAAGCTTTACAAAAAGGACGCTATATTCGGGCAAATGTTTAAGAATCACCATAAACTAGCGTCTTAACCTTTATATCACTTGTAAGACAACAATAAACTGTGAAAGAGTAAAAATTAGTCGAAGTTCGTTGGGATCCGGTACCGTGTAAACATGATGTAAATTGGCATGTCTGACACCAGAGGGGAAAGGGTCGTAAGCCAGCATCAACCTTTGGCTTTGGGGTAAATCTTCAGATAGATTTAGTTTGTGAGTGAGCAAGAACGATAGTGAGTAAATATTTTATTATTCGGTTTATGCATACCACACATTCTTATAGACGATAGTATTGTAACGATACCTACGATTCTTGTCTTTGAGCGACAAATTCTTAGCTTTACATTTCTTGCCATTGAAGACAAAGGAAGAAGTCGTTCTGTGAATAGAGTAAACCGAAAAGATTATAAAAGATTGTTGTAAGGACGTATGAGCTCATAGCAGTTAAATCACATTTCTAGAGAATAAACGACAGATGGAAGGCGAAGAAGTTATAGCTACTTCCCTAACAAATAGTTTTCTGGCTCAGTCACAAGCAAAAAGGATTATCTGTTAGAAATATGGCAAGAATCACGTATTAATATTCTTAAACCAAAATTTAAAAGACATCTTGCTGTTTTCTAATCTGTTTACACAAATGCACTCAAAATTTTCTTCCCCTGTGAACATTTTTCTACTTTTAAAGATAATTTCAAAGATACATGCTTTTATTTGCTATTTTATTTATTATTTCTATTTTTATACACAATTTGATTGAAAGTTTTGGCTTGCCAGGGCAGCAAAATTTGGTAGCCTGTACACCTTAGAAGAAGAACACAAGGAAAGCATCTGATAGAAGAAATAAACTGATAGAAGAGATGGTGCATTCTCAAACAATACATGCCACTTTGAGACGAATCTTTACTTACATCCACATATTTTCTCTTGAACAAAATTAGGAAATTCCAGCTTGATGAGATATTTCCAAATGGATGTATATCGCTCAGAGGTTCTTTGGCAGATTGCCAGTTTCAGTTACCTAAGCAGAGCTGCCAGACAATTCAAGGATATCAAAACTTCTAATTGAGCACAGTGATACAAGGAATATTGAAAGATTTGGTTTTTCCTATAATAGAGAAAAAGACTTACAAGAAAGGTCGACTTCAGTGGCGAAATTAACGCCTTTGCGCTGAAACAGGCTTGGATCAGTGGTACAAAAGACGCTTCTTTCTTAATTTCTCAGCTTTCTATAACGATAATCTGCCAAAACTATTCTGCTCTGCCAGAACTATTCTGCTCTGTACTTAATAATTGACGCTTTTAATGTAATTGGAATTTGAAGACCCTCAGAGTTGCAGATCGTCTAAATCGTCATTACTTTTTGCTTGTGTACATATGGTTCTTTATTGAGTTCTTTACTGTAACTTACCCTAAGCATGGGAACGTTGCTAAATTGGATTAAATGTAGCCTTATTGATCATTCGGTGGTAATTTTATGTTTGTTGTCAAGTTTGTTCATAGAAACAAACCCAAACGATAGTTGCATGGTCTATAGATATGATTCAATCAGTTAGAAAATGTAAACAAGCTGCACAATAACAATTCAAGCAAAAATACAGAAACAACCAAGGACAAACAAAAAGAAGACCTTTTGCGGCCAATTAAAAATATTGTTCTTCCTCTCGGAAAATGCTCAATATTTTTGCGTTGAACAATCTGTTTAGCTTTGCAAATGTCATTAACATAGACGTTAAATATACGTTACATTATTTTAATTCAACGCAGCGAGTTGAACACAGCATGTTGTTACCAGTTGTTGCTTGAATTGTTTGCTCCGCCCAGAAAGTCAATGGAAGCAATTTGAACTCATTACGTCAAGTCAAGATAATGACCGATTGGTATTGGCAATATTTATCCATAAAGGCTTATCCATTACTAAGCTCTCTCTTACGCAATTGGTTGCAAGAATTGCGCAAAAATTTCTATAGAACGAATAGAAAATTACACAGAATCAAAACTAAGAAGAAATAGTTTAATTATCATGCATGTTCATAATCTAATAATTTGGTTTCCCCTCTCAATGTGACGATTATGAGGGCGGGTGAAAAGCCGATTGTGGTTTCAAGACTAGCAACCTCGTTGTTAAATGTTGTTATGGCAACACTCTAGAGGAGGTCTGTAGGGAGGAACAGTCGATGGGCCTGACCTTTAAGCAAGCAAAACATTTGGCCGGAGCCTACAACCAAAGTACCGGAATCCTATTCACGATACGACGGAATAAAAGAGGCTTTGTATTCAAGAAAGCCCTTTTGAAATTAACGGTTTAATTCCTCATCATAACTTGATATTGTCTTTGATTTTTCAACACCATCTTCTGGTTCAAATTGCCTTACATGTTGGATCAACCCGATCAACCGACTGAACCAACAGGGCAACAGGAAAAAACCTTAACATAATGGATTAACACTAGGATATCAAAGACATTTAACATAATTATAATGTTCCTTCCAGTTTTTTAATATCTATTCCTTTTTTAAGAACGCGCGTGTATCTGCAGCAAAAACTAGAGGCTCAATCTCTCAAAGCTTTAAACTTGATATAGCAATCTTTAAATTAATTTTTCTAAATCTAAAATACTTTTCTGCAGAGAAAAATGAAGCATGGAAAAATTGGAACCCGAAAGGGAACACGCAACTTCATTAGTTTATGACGTCCACTACGTTTTTATAATTTTTGTATCATCAGCATATTTGCAATAAAGCAGATTTAGCTGGATTTGAAAACTGCCATGTTGGGCGTGCCATACCCAGCAGACCTAGCTGGCTATTTCCACATTTGCTTTTTAAAACACACGACACTATGATTACAGGTAAAAAATTTCTGCGTGAGTCTTGTGGATTTGATAGTTTTAGAACAGTATATAGGGTAAAAGGATTTATTATGTAGACAATATGGCTCACAAAATTAAAAAGGCACAGCTTATTCTGTAGCAATCTTTTGAAAAATGCAAAATAATTTTTTACGCATTCTGGGAGTTTTTGACATAAAGATGATTACGAGAAGCCTTATCACGACAAAGTAGGGCCTTCATAGCAACAATATTTCAGTTGCTCAGAACCCTCTCACCTAAGCAGGTTGCACCTCTGCCACTACAAGTAGAAACCAAGGCTTTTGGCTTTTCAATGCTACTGAAAAGGTAGCGCGAAGGGGGTAGGGGGGAATGACTACTCATTTCTCTCATCAGATTGTTCTGCATCTAGTAAAAATTTAGCATACATCTCAGTTATTTATACCAAAAATTTTTTAAAAAGGTATTAAACCGAAGAGAGCAAGAAGGGTATACTTACGTAACGCAAAAAGGACGTTGTTCGAAGATTAATTTTTAGGGAGGAGGGGGAGGAGGAGGGGGGAGGTGGGGAGGATACACCATCCATGCCACATTAACATAACACCCCTGGCTCTGTGCCATCTCCACCGTGAATCTTTATTAACGCTTAACTTTATATTCCCCGTTGCGTATTGTGCCCAATTGAAGTTTTTTTACGATTGCAGTTACATATCCGTTGAATCTGACACCCTTAAGTTGATGTCCTTCCGTCTACGTCAAATGTTTTGAGTGACTGCTTAGAGAGAACACTATTGCAGAAAGGGAGCATGCAATTTGAGCAATTCCATTTTCTTGAATTATGTTGAATTTTCAATAGATATGTAAACATTGACAATTCAACGCTTCATCCATGATCTGAATGATTCTAGAACCCCAAAGAACACAAGTCTTGGCAGCTTTGCGGTTTTTACTCTTGGCTGCTATAAACTTTTAGTTTCGAAATTAAGTTTTTCACAACGATGCAAATTAAAGATACTTACTGTCAACTTGTATGAAGAAACACCTGGATTTCCACCGATTAAGACTTTGCGCAGAAGATTCCTTATTTTTGCTCTTATTTCTAGCATTGCATTGTTATTTATATCAATTTGGGCTAAAGAGTAACTGTTTAAGTTATTTTCAATACAATCGGCGAAACTTAAAGCTACAAAGAGGTATTGATTTCCACCATGTTTATGTTGGGATCTCATTTGAATGCGAACATTCTTCAGAGCTTTCTTGCAGGTTTCTTTAGACATAAATATTTGCGAAATTACAACAGAGAAACCTACCAGTTTGTCGCACTAAGCTAACTAACAGATCG